TCTCTCATAGTTGAGGTATACCTATGATGAAAATTACAGGCCTCTCTCATCTTTTTAAGTGGGAGAACTTGCACAATTGGTGGCTGACTAAATACTTTTTTTCCCCACTGTATATGTGTCATCTTATAATCCGTGTACAATAATGCATAAAAATGCTCTCATTAGAGCAAACTCTGATTCAGGAAGTCTAGAGCAAACATTATTGCCTTAGGTATTTGGTGGTTGTTCCTTGGAAATACGCTGGAAGCAGATGTCATAACATGTCTCACTGCTTCCTACCAAAACACATTTCCATAATGTATTTGGTCATTTAGTAACCAAAACAAACACAACATTCTGCATTAAAGATACAGAAGGAGTTTATGTTCAAATAAACATCAAGTGTCTGCATAATGCACCAAATAGTCAAAGTGTTTATAACTATGAATAATTATATATTTATATTTAAAAATTGACTTTAGAGAGCACTTAATATTATAAAGGGAAGATACTTGGATGTTAAATAACCCACAAAATGGCTTGAAACTAACTTTTGTTGGGACATATTGATTATTTAAAAAATATTAATAATAAAGCCAATTGATGAGTCGCAACCATGTACAATGATTTGTTTCTTATAGGTGGTATTATGAGGAAGGATTCATTTGATTGGCCAAAAATCTGTGTAGTACAACCGATCACACAGCCTAGCTGACAGATACATATGGCTCTACAAGCCACAACACTGCAATTTAAGCTTTCAAGGTGTCTTTAACAAAATGTAATCATGTCATAACATTTGATTTTGAGTGGCAGTTATTGGACTCGTGTAGGTTACGGTCTGTCTTATGTTCTTAGCACCAGCTCAGAAACCAGAAGAAGTCATTAAGAAATACATGGAGGAAGTGCCTGTGGTCCCAGATGAGGTATATTTAAAGTTCACAGTCCAATAACACTTTTTGTACTAGCATAGATGGGTTAATTTCACAGGTCATATTTTACACCATGACTAAATGGAATGAAATATTTTGCTTAAAGAAAATAATGACCATCTCTGGACAATTTTTACATTTATTTTCCTGACTATTATACAGTTTTTCCTATGTAACAATGCAAAAATGGTCCTAAAATACAACATGACCTGTACATATTTTTATGCCATTCACCCATACGTTTAATGCCTCTTCTGGAAATATTACCCATGCCTTGCCCTGTGTGATATGTGACATCTGGCTGTGTGCTTTCAGGACTGTATTATCTGTATGGAGCGCCTGTCCTGCCCGTCTGGTTATGAGGTCCCAGCTGAGTGCTCTCAGTCTCTTCAGCCCAACACCGTGGGCAAACTCACAAAATGTGGTCACACTTTCCACATGCTCTGCATGCTGGCCATGTACAACAATGGAACCAAGGTGTGCATTTCCTTACCAACACTTCTAACTGACACGGATCTGGGAGCTAAACAAATAAAGCAGTTCTCTTAGTTGTATATTATACTATTGGACGGTAGCTCCAGGATTCGTTGCAGATTGGTATACTGTTAATAATCAAAAATGGATATGGAATGTGAGCTTGGAGTAAATGATGACAAAATTTGACATTTTTGGATTAAGTATACCTTTAAAAGTATTCCAATATACTATAACGTTCAAAAGCCAGAGTTTTTTTAAAGCAGTCTCTTAGGCTTACTATGGCCACATTTATTTGACAAAAAATACAGTAATATTAGATTTTATTACAAATTTCTATTCCATTACTCCAGTCTTCAGTTCTCATATGCTGATTTGCTGCTCAAGAAACATTTGTTCTTATTATTAATGTTGAATATTGTTGTTCTACTTACTATTTTGTGAAAACAGTTACAGTGTTTAGGATTGTTTGATGAACAGAAATTTCAAAAGAACGGCATTTATTTAAAATCGAAATCTTTTGTAACATTATAAACGTCTTCGCTGTCACTATTGGTTAAATTAATAGTGACAGTGAATCAGTCAATCAGTCCTTGTCAAATAAACGTTTTAATCTCTTTCAAAAACAAAACAAAACAATCTTCCTGACCAACACACGTTTGAACGTCAGTGTGTGTAATGCACTTTTAGAATTACTCCAGCAGTGACAATGGGTGCATGCAAATACAAAAAATCTTATTAGTTCCAAATATTTTCATGTAAACTATTCCTTTTATTTTCTCCCACTTTTGTTACACCACAGGATGGGAGTCTTCAGTGCCCCTCATGTAAGACAATCTACGGAGAGAAGACCGGCACCCAACCCAAGGGCAAGATGGAGATTTACAGTATCCCTCAGTCTTTGCCTGGACACCCAGACTGTGGCACTATACAAATCATTTACAACATCCCGCCCGGAATACAGGTCTGACTTGACAAGCTGATGTAGTGCTCTGTACTGTTTTATATTTATTTACACCATGATTTAAGCATATTCTTAACAATAATCTCTTCAGAAGAGGTAGGCTAAATAAATAAACTGAACGAAGTGCTGGAGGTCCATATGAACCAGCCAAATGTTTTCATCCAGCAGACTGCGTTTGTTAGGGGCATAACTGACTCATCATCTTAATGCACTCTTTGTCTGCAGGGTCCTGAGCACCCAAACCCAGGGCAGCCGTATACGTGCAGAGGATTCCCTCGCTTCTGTTTCCTTCCTGACAATGACAAAGGAAGAAAGGTAATGGAGGGAATTGACCCAGTTCAAATACAGATTTATGCCATACTCATTTGTCAGAATATTGAATCACTGGCCCTTTCACATATTAAACCTGTTAAATTACCGTTCAGTTGCTGAATCAACTGTTCCAGGACTACGTGTTACTCACACAAGCATTGGCTTTTGGTGCTGCTATTCACACACTGACACCAACATGCCGTTAAAATGTCATTGTGTGTAAAAAATATAGCAGGCTACTACTAGTTTAAAAAAAATACAAAAAAAATAAATTGTCCAGCTGCTAGAGATGTACATTTGAATGCTTAGTGCACGTAACTAAAGGTGCGGTCACATAAAAAAGGTCCATGGTCCAATTGTCAAAAGTGTATTGATGAACAAAGCACCACTCACACAGAAGTCACTGCCAAATCAGTGGGTTTTTGTTAAATGTGAGCCAAAATCATCACAATTAAAAGAACCAAAGACTTAAACTACTTCAGTCTGTGTGCACTGAATTTATTTAATACACGAGTTTCACAATTTGAGTTTAATTACTGAAATAAATGAACTTTTCCACGACATTCTAATTTGTTGAGATGCACCTGTATACACACACATATATATTTTACTTTTTAAGATTTTACATTTCTAATTTATTTACAATTATAATTTTAAATCTCTAATTAGAAATGTATAATTTTTGTTTATTACTTAAGATTTGTTTTTTGTTTTTAATTTACAAAATGTAAAAAAATTTAATACACATTTTTCACATATACAAATATTTTTTTTCATCAAATGTTAACATTTATATACAAAGAAAATTAGCAAAAATGACTCCCAAATTATAGTTATTATAAGAAATACTTAGCAAGTGAACACAAGTGATGAGAGATTATCAAAAATATCTTCATTTGTGTTCCAAAGATAAACGGAAGTCTTAAGGGTTTAGGACGACAGAATATAAATTTTTGAGTGAACGATGCTTTTACGTTTACTAGGTCTAAAAATTGCAAATAAACAATCAAAAATCACTGACCCATCTTAGATACTCAGCCCTGTAATAGTTGTGAGCTAGTTGTGTCAGTAAAACTTTGTCTGAAATTCCCTAAAGTCCTCCACTTCCATCAGAGCGTCCTTACCTTATACAAGGTCGAACCTTTAAAAGAATGTTTCAACTCCAGCATTTATCGATTGCCGATAACCACAGAACATAATTTCTTGTTTTTGTAACCTTTAACCGAGTTCATTAAGATCCATGTGAGTTTTAACGGCACGTGATTTCTCTTGCAAGAAAAAGAAATCACTCCATACTGCAGCGAAGTAACAGAAGAAATGCAGTATGTATTGCCTCACGACCAGCATTCATGTTTAATGTTGATCTTTGCACAGTGCTCAGGTTTGCGTTTCCCTCTCAAAGCAAACCGCAAACTGTGTTTATTTTAAAACTGAGGGTCCTGATCATCTCCAACCGTCTCCAGGTGCTGGAGCTGCTGAAAGTGGCGTGGACACGGCGCCTCATCTTCACCGTGGGCACTTCCAGCACCACAGGGGAGCCAGACACCGTCATATGGAACGAGATCCACCACAAGACGGAGATGATGTCCAACGTCTCCGGCCACGGCTACCCCGACCCCAACTACCTGGACAATGTGCTATCAGAGCTGGCGTCACAGGGCGTGACGGAGGACTGCCTGAAATGAGACCCTCAGTGCCAGGGGGCTCAAGGTGCAGCCATGTGAACCGGACTGTCCCATCTACTGTAGATCTAATAAAACTTGATGAAAAGGGAAAACTAGAGTTACGCTGTTGGTTTGATGTATGCGAATGTAGTTAAATGCAGCGTTCCTCATCCATTTCCACTCTTCGGCTGAGTCTAGAATATTAACGCACATGTAGGGTCACTGCTTTACTTTTTCCGTATTGTAAGGCAGCTACAGATGGTTCTGCGGGAATGGCACGGTTTAATGTTTTAGATTGGTGCCCAAATCTCATACCAGGAGGAAACTCGCCAATTCAGGCATCCATCTCAACACATGATTCATCATAGGGGCTATTATGTCCTTCCTGACGTACTACATTACAGTAGAGCATCTGCGACTATGATCATTGTACTATTGCTGGGAATCAAGCATACAATGTTTCTTTAAAAGCAGTACGAAAACAGTAAAAATTGCACATCAATGCAAGTCATAGATCTTTACTAGTACTGTAAAATGTACTGCTTCAGAAATGAAAGGCACTTTTACAGAATCTGCAGCTGTTAATTTACATCATTTTTGTTTTTGTTTTCAAGTTAGATTGATGATGGTGTTCACTTGCTGCTATTACTTTTTTCTTTTAGTTTTTTTGTTATTTTGTTTACAATTATGAGGGACTTCAAGGGATAGTCCATCCAGAGATGTAAATTCTGTCATCATTTACTCACTCTAATGTTGTTGCAAACTTGCTTTTTACTTTGGAAGGCAAAAGAAAATATGTTGTTAATCAAATAGTTTCTACTCCCGTTGACTTGCAGGACAAAAATGACAATGCAATCCAATGGGAACCAAAACTGTTTGCTTACCAACATTTATCAAAATATCATCTTTTACGTTCCATAGAAAGTGCGTAACTGTCTCGATTCCACATAATACGTTTTCTATTGCAATGGGCCCCCTTTTTGAATATACGTTAATGAATTTGATCTATTTAAAAATGCAAGACTTTCAACAGCTCGGCGACACTACGTAATGTTGATTAAAAAAACGTCATTGCTTATTTAATTGTAGTCCAGATCCTGAAAATAGGTGTAGAGATGCAATTCCACAGCGTTATCATTGAGTTGCAGTATTAGATGGTGCCACATAGACAATCAGCAGTGTTTAAGATACAGTTCATTACCACTGCGAGTCTGGAGACATTCATTCATTCATTCATTCATCATCTCATATTCCATGATATGGGATATTTTGTTTTACAATGTATGCAACTGTATATATATAAATATATATTCAACTTCTAATCAGCAATAAACATTACTCCATATAACAACACTTTTTGGTTTCTGTTATTTGTTAACACTGTTATGAAATACTGAACTCCTCCAGGCATTTGGTTGCAACAAAATACAAAATGAAAGCCATCGTTATGAAGCGACGAGAATACTTTTTGTACGCGAAGAAAAAACAACAACTTTATTCAACAATTCGTGTCCTCAATGTCTCTCCGCATCACCGTAGTGCCATTTTGGAGAATATCCGCTGAACGCAAGCAGCGTACGCTCTTCTGTGTCAGCTGCGACACAAGGATAAGTTTTCTACGTGTATTTACGCTTTGATTTGAACGAAAACCGCGCATCCGTGCAGTGCGGCTGACACAGAATAGCGTACGCTGCTTGCGTTCAGTGGTTATTCTCCAAAATGGCGCTACGGTGATGCGGAGAGACATTGAGGACACGAATTGTTGAATAAAGTTGTTATTTTAGTTTTCTTCGCGTACAAAAAGTATTCTCGTCGCTTCATGAAATTCAGATTGAACCACTGATGGCAGATGGACTATTTTGACAATGCTTTTCATACTTTTCTGGACCTTGACAGTGTTGTTTATTTGGCAGTCAATGGGACAGTCAAGCCTCCCGGTTTTCATCCAAAATATCTTAAATTGTGTTCTGAAGACGAACAAAGGTTTTACGGGTTTGGAACGACATGAGGGTAAGTGATTAATGACAAAATTTTCATTTTGGGGTGGAGTAACCCTTTAAGTACATTTTCACTCCAAATTGTCAATACGGTTATGCGTCTAGAAAATCTACTTTAAATGTAACTACTTTTTATTTTATTTTGTTCCCATTATTCTCTAGTTTAATTTCAATCTGCGTAAAGGCAGTACAGCAAATACTATCATATGCCATAAATACTATGTATATCGTGAATATTTTCCCTATTGATTGCATTACAGTAATGAGAATAAGATTTGCCATAATTGCCATTAAATATAAGAAATTAATACTTAATACAGAAGGGGCACATTAAATTGATCAAAAATTACATTTATAGTGTAACAAAAGATTTCTGTCAAATTTTATTCTGAATTTTCAACTCCTCAAAGAGTCCTGAAAAAAAAAAGAATCATGGTTTCCACAAGCAAAGCAGCACACACACATATATATATATATATATATACAGTGGGTACGGAAAGTATTCGGACCCCCTTAAATTTTTCACTCTTTGTTATATTGCAGCCATTTGCTAAAATCATTTAAGTTAATTTTTTTTCCTCATTATTTCTGTCAATATGGGGTGCTGTGTGTACATTAATGAGGAAAAAAAATTAACTTAAATGATTTTAGCAAATGGCTGCAATATAACAAAGAGTGAAAAATTTAAGGGGGTCTGAATACTTTCCGTACCCACTGTATATATATATTTGTAAGCAGTATATTTATATATACATAATAAATGTGCACAGTATACACACATATATTATGTAAACAAAAACCTTTATTTTGGATGCGATTAATTGCGATTAATCATTTGACAGCACTAATTAAAACAGAAAACAGCCTTGTTGATCATAAGAGATTTCATTCAATAACATTCAACAATTAAACTGCGCACACATGACGACAATAGATAGGTGCGTTGGAGGCAAAGACCAACCAGGTCAAAAAACTAAAAAGCAAAAAACAAATCCCGCACACTATCTATGCAAAAAATATCAAAATAATTACTGACTACGTTTCTGTCGCATGACCTTCATCAGGAATTTTTTTCCTGATGAAGGTCATGCGACCGAAACGTAGTCAGTAAATATTTTGATATTTTTTCCATAGATAGTGTGCGGGATTTCTTACTCAATAACATTCAAAATCTTACCGACCTCAAACGTTTGAACCGTAGGCTGTATATGCTCATACAATATGCCTTATAATTTTACTTTAAGGATGAAATATGACCTGGACACGTTATTGACAACCATTTAACCTTTCACCACAATATCTAATATGTATACCTGATTTGTAGTGAATGTGAATAAAGTCTCCCAGCTAGAATGTAGCATTCTGTCAGTAGAGGGCAGTGTTGCTCTGTGAGACTGCAGAACATCTGCATCACAGAGCTGCTGCTCTTATGCTTTATAAAGACGAACGCTTCGCACCTGCAGAGTGAGTTTCTGTTCTTCCCTCGTGAAATGAAAGCTGAAAACTGTCACAGATGTGCTGGTTGCTCAGAGAAACTCATTGTGTCACATATCAAGATCTAAACTAGTCTAATTTGTTGAGAGTGAATTGGTGGGTTTTTGTTAAATGTGAGCCAAAATCATCACAATTAAAAGAACCAAAGACTTAAACTACTTCAGTCTGTGTGCATTGAATTTATTTAATACACGAGTTTCACAATTTGAGTTGAATTACTGAAATGAACTTTTCCACGACATTCTAATTTATTGAGATGCACCTGTATATAGAACTTAGACAGCAGAATGCATTTGATCTTTAAGCACATTGGTATTACAGTTAGTCGAATATTGAATAATACAAGTACTTGGAGACTTAATTCACTTTTAAAAATTTAATAAAAATATTTGGATGTTTTCTAGTTGTCAAACGTTAATAGAATATATTATTGTAAATGAAACAAGATAATGTGTCCATACACTGAAAAAAAAGTTGGTGTATAGGACCGACTTTGAAATGATTTCTCACTCAAAAATTGCTAGTAAATTTCACAATTACAAAGACATGGCAAGTAACACATTGAATCAAATGTGACATTTTGAAGTTGAAAGACTGAAATAGCTTTTTCTTGTAAAATGTGCTCCAGTAATCTTTTTTTTAAATTTATTATTATTTTTTTTTTATAAAGTATGAAAATCTTTTTTACAGTGTATTATGAAAGTCAGTGGGGTCCAAAATAACACGAAATCTTATTAAAATCAATAACAGCAAAACAACACAATTACCTTTTTATTCTGTGGCAGAAACAAACTCAGAATTCAGAGAAAATAAAGGCAGAATTGTGAGATGTAATCTAGTTTCATACATTAAAAAAAAATAATAAACTGAGTTTTGGTGAAGAGGTGTGTGAATAGTGTAAATGAGATTAAGACTACTCAGTAGTTTTCTATAAAAAGTTATTTTTTTATTTTATTAAACTTTAGTAAACACAGTCAAAGTACAGTTAGGACTACAATATTACACATAAATATCTACATAAAACACAAACAAAATATATAAAATAGCCTATCAAATTTGTATACAAAATACACTTACAGCCAGGGGGTGGGCTAAACCTTTCATTTGGGACAAAAAAAAAAAAAAAAAAGAGAGTGACAGAGCCAAGACCTTCTTCAAAATAAATGACAGAATTTCTTTTTTGGATGAATTGTGCCTTTAGGTTTCCAAAAACTTTTTGGATCCACTGTATGGCCTTTGAATCAGATAAAAATATGATGTAGATCAATCAATACTCTGAGATGATCTCCTAAAAATGTATTACCCCTGGTTCTACACTGAACAAATACTCTAAGCACAACACTTCTCATGCCAACTCATTTTGGAACTGATTTACTGCCTGTTTATTGTACTCACTTCCTCTGTATGCATGAGAAATCCTCTCTTTTGCTTATGAAAGCTCTCCCACTTTCTCCCTCCCTCCTTTTTTTCTTCATAACTGGTAATGAGACCCTCTCAGACTCCATCTTATTAGGAAACATCTATGCTGTTTGTTGTGTGTAATTAAAACAAGGAGCAAAGGGTGCTGTGATGACTTTCCTCCACTCAAGTGTGTCCCGCTGCATGCCCACAGGCTCATCTTCTCCTAAAATGGGCACTTGCAGAAGTTTCTGAAAGAAATGATAGAATATTATTCGATCATATACTTGTTTTACTGCTGGTTCTTGAGATCTCAAATTAAGGAAATAGATAAAAAGCTTCAGTGTTTAATTGCAAGTTACATTTGCCATGAAAATAATGATTGGAGAGCTATAGACCAATTTCAGTGTTTGGAAACAGTGATGACGGTTTTTGTGGGCGGAGCCTATATGGTGGCAGAAAATGACAGTTTTGACGTAGCAGTCTATTCAAGCCATGGAATAAAAGAATAACAAATTTCATTTTGAGTTTATATTTCAAAATTCTGACTTTTTTCTTGCAATTCCGAGATTATATCTCACAATTCTGGTAAGAAAAATCAACTCGTCATTCTTTCTTTTTAGTTTATTTTTTGAACCAGGCTGTAAACATGTTTTTTTCTGCTTGAAAGTTAGGCATTTTAACATGGGGATTCTATGGGATTGACTCCCTTTTGCAGCCAGCCTCTAGCGGCCAGTTGACGAATTACAGTTTAAGTCACTTCCTTGTTGGCTTCACGAGAGAGAGAGCTGGAGGTTGCCGCTCGATTAAAACGTTCTAAGCACAAAGAAAAAGTGAGGTCAATGTTCTGGTAAGAAAAATCAACTCGTCATTCTTTCTTTTTAGTTTATAATCCCACACTTCTGGCTTTTCCCCCTCAGAATTGACAAACTCGCAATTGTTGACTTTAATAAAGTTATAAAGTCCGAACTAGGAGATATAAACTTGCATTTGCAAAAAAAAAAGTCAGAAT